GCTGATGAATTAGATGTGGGGAGCTGAGGGATAGAGAGGAATCAAGGTTGACAGTTCAATGTTTGGTTTGGAAAACTAAGTGGATAGTTGTCTGTTACTGAGATGGGGAAGAGCAGGAAAAAAACAGCTGTATGGAAGAATCAAGAATCCTGGTTTGGCCACATCAAGCTTGAGATGCCTATTTGCTACCCAAGTAGGAATGTCAAATAGACAATTGGAGCTCAGTGAAGATGTCAGGACTGGAGATACAAATTTAGAACCATTCAGCATACAGATGGTATTCATAGCTATGAACATGGGTAATACCTCTTAGGGAGAAAGTGTAAGTGGAGAAGACTTAAGGATGTAGGACTAAGCCCTGGAGCATGCCACCATTAAGAAGTGAGCAGTAGAGGAAGAGCCAGCAAAGGAAATAGGTCACCGGTGAGTTTGGAGGAATGTTGGAAGAACAGTTTGCCATATGTGTTTTTTTTTAAAGATTTTATTTATTTATTTGAGAGAGAGAGAGAGCACGAGTGGGGTGAAGGGCAGAGGGAGAAGCAGACTCCCCGCTGAGCAGGGAGCCTGACGTGGGGCTCGATCTCAGGAGTTCGGGATCATGCCTTGAGTCAAAGGCAGACGCCCAACTGACTGAGCCACCCAGGTGCCCCGCCATATATGTTTTTTAATAAAGATTTTATTTATTTATTTAACTGACAGAGAGAGAGAGACAGCTAGAGAAAGAACACAAGTAGGGGGAGTGGGAGAAGAAGAAACAGGCTTCCCGTCAAGCAGGGAGCCTGATGCGGGGCTCGATCCCAGGACCCTGGGATCATGACCTGAGCTGAAGGCAGGTGCTTAACCAACCGAGCCGCCCAGGCGCCCCCCGCCATATATGTTTTAAAAGGTGGAGTAGTTAGGGATGCCTGGGAGGCTCAGTCAGTTGAGTGTCCAACTCTTGATTCTGACCTCTGATTTTTTGGTCATGATCTCAGGGTTATGAGATCGAGCCCCATGTCGGGCTCCGCGTTCAGTGGTGAGTCGGCTTGAGATCGTCTCTCTCCCTCTCCCTCTGGCCCTCCCCTGCTCACGCACTCTCTAAATAAATAAATGAAATCTTTAAAAAAATTTTTTACAAGGTGGAGTGATTAATGTATACCACCAAGAAATTCAAGATGAAGAGGTGACTATCAGTATGGCAGTAATTGGTAAACTAACAAGAACTATCTCAATGAGAACATGGGGTGGGAGAGCCTGAGTGGAGTGGATTGGAATGAGTGGGAGATGAAGTAGAGTAAGAGACAATAATATCATTCAAGAAATCTTGGCATGGAGAAGAGCACAGAAATGGAGTGATAGCTACAGAGGAATCTGGGTCCATTTTTCTCAAGATGGGAGAAATTTGTCATGTTTGGAAATGATCCAGTAGAGAGGGATAAATGTAATATAGGGGAAAAATGGATAATCACAGGAGCACAGACCTAGAGAAAGTGAAGCGTATGGGACCCAATGCACAAAGAGTTGGTTTTTGATGGGAACAGGGATCTTTCCGTCAATGAAAGAGGAGGAAGGGCAGAAAGTACTTGCAGGCTGGCAAATTTGGTGGGGAGAGGAAGTTCTCATTTGCTTCTGTTTTCTCAATGAAGAATGACCCAAAATCATAAATTGGATGTGGTGGGGGAGGGATAGTCGAGGATTGGGGAAATGAGAAAGCGTAACACTCATTTGGAGTGTAGGAGAGTACACTTGTCAAGAGCATGTAGTAGGCTCTTCGACAGTGTTGTGCGCCCATTTGAGATTTGTGGACATGAATTTAAAGTGGTACCAGTCATCAGTAATCACATTTGATTCACAAGGACCAGAAATGGATAGAGTTTGTTAAATGTAGTGGCCCTCAACAACTGTTCACTGAATAAATAAATAAATGAGTGGAGTATTATATAAAACATTTGGATAGGGAATTAGGAAGGGAAATAAAGAACGAATGGGTATCTGTCTTCTTACAACTTACCTGAAGACAAAACACAATTATTTGAGAACAAAGCCATATTTCAACAAACACAAACATATTAAGTTTTCAACTTAAAGTTATTAATTCTGAAAGAAATGCAGAGTAATTTCTTTTTTTTTTTTTTAAAGATTTTATTTATTTGACAGAGAGAGACACAGCGAGAGAGGGAACACAAGCGGGGGGAGTGGGAGAGGGAGAAGCAGGCTTCCCGCCGAGCAGGGAGCCCGATGCGGGGCTCGATCCCAGGACCCTGGGATCATGACCTGAGCCGAAGGCAGACGCTTAACGACTTGAGCCACCCAGGTGCCCCAAAATGCAGGGTAATTTCATACTTAAGATAGCATGAAGTTAATTTGGGAAAGCATTCCTGAAGTTAAGTTCCAGATAAGAGTTCAAAAGTTACTAGGTACAAGTGTTATCAGAAAGCAGAGGTAAAAGAGAGAAAACTAGTAGACATTAATAAGCAAGATGGGTAGTATGGGCTATGTTGCATATAGTCTTGAAGAAACGGAAAAGGACCTGGAGTTTGGAAGCAGCAATGACAATAATTACATAGTTTAAGGACTAACCTCTTCATGCTAAGCACTAACAGCTTAATTGACAATGGCTTCGATTTATCTGGTCCCTGCCTGTGTCCACACACTAACTGTGTTAGTTCTTTTACATATGTATGATTTCCAATATTCACAAACACCCCACAGAATTACATATTATTTATTTATAATAAAATTCCTTCTCACAGATGAGGGAATTGAGACCCAGCATTTCAGTCATTTCCCCAAAATATCACAGTAAGGAGCTGAGGTAGGATTTGAACCGAGGTGTCTCTGATTCCAAAGGCCATAGTCAATGGCACTTCATTTAACTGTGCATTCCCACCATTTCCCTTGTGCTTAACGCAGAGGCCCACCCAGGATAAATGCTGAGCAGCAAGAATGACCCCAAAATGTAAGTCAGACAACCTGCCTTCATACTTAATCCAAATTGTTTCCCAACAACCCTCCCCACCCCACTCCCATCCCCCACTCACTAACTAGTCTTTCAATTTCTTCAACAGGACAACCTCTTTCCTTCCCCAGGGTGTTTGCCTGTGCCTCACCTTGTCCTTTTGGAGGCTCTTCCCCTCACTCTTCCCATGCTAACCCCTTTATATCCTTTATTTTTTATTATTTTTTAAAGATTTTATTTATTCATTTGACAGAGAGAGATACAGCGAGAGAGGGAACACAAGCAGGGGGAGTGGGAGAGGGAGAAGCAGGCTTCCTGCGGGGCAGGGAGCCTGATGCGGGGCTTGATCCCAGGACCCCGAGCTCATGACCTGAGCCAAAGGCAGTCGCTTAACCAAATGAGCCACCCCGGTGCCCCCCCCCCCCTTTATATCCTAGCTCATCACTTCATCTGAGAGGCTGGCCCTGGCCATTCTATCTAAAATAGACCCCTGGTGTTCTCTACGTCAGTCATTTCTTTCCAAACATTTATCAAATTTTGCAATTATGTTGTCAGGTTGTTTCCTGATGTCTTTCCCCAGTATTAGGACCCAGGAGGCCAAAGAACTTGAGTCCTGTTTACCTTTGACTTCCCTGCGATGTGCTTTTCAATACAGGAGTCACTAGTCATATGTGAAACCTCTGAATTGAGATGTACAGTCAGTGTGAAATTCATACTGGATTTCAAAGACTTGGCATGAGCAAAGAATATGTAAGATCTCATTCATATTTTTATATTGATTACATGTTGAAATGATAATGTTTGGATAAACGGTTAAATCTATGATTAAAATTATTTTCACCTGTTTTACATTTTAATGTGGCTACTAGATAATTTTCACTCATATAAGTGCCTCGCGTATTTCTGGGCTCCGGGACAATGCTGTCCCAGGGCCTAGTACAGTGTCCTGCCCCCATTTTATTGTGAGAAATAACCAATGTTAAGAGACAAACCGAATGAATGGATGAGTGAAGAGCTATGGTCTCTGCCTCTTTTTTTTTTTTTTTAAAGATTTTATTTATTTATTTGAGACAGAGAGAATGAGAGAGAGAGAGCACATGAGAAGGGGGAGGGTCAGAGGGAGAAGCAGACTCCCTGCCGAGCAGGGAGCCCGATGCGGGACTCGATCCAGGGACTCCAGGACCATGACCTGAGCCGAAGGCAGTCGCTTAACCAACTGAGCCACCCAGGCGCCCTGCCTCTTTTTTTTTTTTTTTTAAGATTTTATTTATTTATTTGACAGAGAGAGAGACAGCTAGAGAAGGAACACAAGCAGGGGGAGTGAGAGAGGGAGAAGCAGGCTTCCCGCCGAGCAGGGAGCCCGATGCGGGGCTCGAGCCGAGGACCCTGGAATCATGACCTGAGCCGAAGGCAGACGCTTAACGACTGAGTATGGTCTCTGCCTCTTATTAGGAAAACAGATACGGCATTGTCCTGGAAGTCAGGAGATCTGGGTTGTGGTCCAGGTTTACTGGAAACACTATGTAGCCTTGGACAAGCAATGCCCAACTCTGGGTGTCAATTTGCCCATCAGGCAGCTGATCTCTGAGGTCTCCAAGTGTATGAGAATTAGTGGCGGAGAAAGCTGGGGAAGCCTGGTACAACAGAACTTGACTTCTGTTTGGCTCCAGGCCAACACCAGAGCTTCGGGCGACGGGAGGAGGCAGCAAGAATCACAGACTAGAAACCCCCGAGCCCCACGCCCGGCCCGCCGGCTTCCTCGGGCCGACGTCACTGGGGCGCGACGGCGTGGTGCGTCCGGTCCTTGATGCTGCAGCGGTTCAGAGGGTCCCTCTGGCGAGGGCGAGCGCCGAGCTAACAGAATGTCAAGTAGTACTCGAGTCTCTCCAATGCTCAGTTTTCAGCAAACCACCCTCTGCCGCCCTCCCTCCTACTTCACCCTTACCCGGCACAGGAAGCCGGGAAATAACGAGTCCGGCCCCGAGCGTCCAGTGCTGGACCCCAGCGCGGCTGCGCAAGGCACGTGCGCCTCTCCGGAGTCCCGGCGATTGGCTGTGACGTAACTTCCGGCGTGAGCGGCGAAAGCCGGGAGGGCGAGCGAGAGAGCGAGCAGGCAGCAGGCAGCAGGCAGCAGGCGGGCGGGCGGACGGCACGGAGGGAGGGAGCGAGCGAGCGAGCAGTGAGTGAGCCAGCGAGGGCGGCCGCGTCCCTAGAACAGCCGAGATTCTTCCCGCCCCTCTGACCCCCTCCCCGGAGCCCACAGCGCCTCCGGTCTCCAGTGGAGCGGACACGGCCCGGCCCGGCCATGGCCTCGTTGCTGAAGGTGGATCAGGAAGTGAAGCTCAAGGTAGCGGCACCGGTCCGGGCCTCCTAACCCCTCGCTTCGATCCCCGAGCAGTCTGACCGGCTCCCCACTCCCCGTGGCGTCTTTGTCTCCCTGGGGACACCAGCTCTGAGCTTCCGCTCAGCCCAGCCCCCCACTCCCGGAGACGGCATCGGGGGAGAGGATAATAATAGGGTGGCCTTCTGAACCGCGTCTGGTGGTGGAGAGTCCCGGGGAGACCTCCGCGGACACGTGGTGGACTCAGCACTTTAGGCCAGTGACAGCTGGAAGTCCCCCAGCCCGGCAACGTCCCCGCCTCTGGATGCTACTGCTGCTGTACCCCTACCCTTGGTGTCAGGCCTGCCTGGTATCAAAGGCTAGGTCTGGATGGGGGCTTGGCACGTTTGTGAGCTCACATCTCGACTGTCTACCTGCCTTTTGTTTGCTCTCAAATTCAGACAGCTTCAGATACGGGGAGGGAGGGTGGGAGGGAAGACAGGTGGGTGCTACCCTCAAGCCCCGCTTCCCTCTCCTGAGATGGAGAAATGGATCCTCAAAAAAATAAAGTACTTACAGTCTGGGGGTCTCTCAGCCTCTCATTACAATTACAAGGTGAGGGGAAGACAGCTGAATTTGGGTTTTCCCATCCTGCCCTTACCGCTGTTGCCAGGTGCTGACATGCTGTTACTGAATTGTTCTCTTTGTTAATTTTAGGTTGATTCTTTCAGGGAGCGGATCACAAGTGAGGTGAGTGCAGTAAATAGAAAAATAAGCATTGGTTGATAGTTGGGAATTTCCTAAAGAAGAGATTTGTGGAGAGAGACCTTCCCACAGTTATTAATTCAGCTGTATTTTCCTTCATCTTTAGGCAGAAGACTTGGTGGCAAATTTTTTCCCAAAGAAGTTGTTAGAACTTGATAGTTTTTTGAAGGTGAGAGACCCTTTTCTTTTCTTCAAATTCCCCAGTTTTTTTGGCTCTGGTCTTTCTGTCAAATGGGAGAAATCATGTGTCGATTCTATTTTGTTTTGTGCAGTAAAATATTCTCATTTCTTGCCCTTCAAATGAAATAGTTCTTTGTTCATTTTGAAAAGACTAATGTTGTTTTGGGGGTGGGTGTCTCTCTTTCAGGAACCAATCCTAAACATCCATGACCTAACTCAGATCCACTCAGACATGAATCTCCCAGTCCCTGACCCCATTCTTCTCACCAATAGCCACGATGGACTGGACGGTGTGAGTGTCCTGCATTTTTCTTTGTATTCTGAAGCAGTAGTTCTCTATTCTCTGTTCTCTACTTCCTAGTCAATTTGAACATGTACAGAGGAAACAGTGGTATTAGGATCTAGGAACGAGGGCTCTTAATGACATGATGATTCCAGTATACCACTTTTAGACCCTGATTTTCGTTTATAGCATGAAGTGTATAACCTAATGCTACTCTGTCTTAAAGTAAGTTCCAAATAGGACTAATAGCTACAGGTTCCCTCCAGTTGTCTGGTCTGTCCCTGTGGCTCTAAGCAAGATTTTTCTCACCTGTTTGTGTCTTGAGTATTGTTACAGGATGAGCAGTTCTTGCTATATAACTGCAGTCCCTGTCTTTGCTCCATATCTTTAGCACCTAGTGCTTGTCAGTTATATGTCCACGTTTTATAACAACAGTGATAACACTGTATTGTTGTCTTAGTTACTGTCTCATTGATAGAGCTTGCAATTCTGGAAAGCAGAAACTGTCTTAATCAACTTTGTATCCCCAGCACCTAGTTCTGCACCTGGTACATAGCAGGTGCTAAATACATGTTTGTTGATTGAATATTGTGCTTCTTTGTGGAACCAGAAGATTTGTACATATTCCCTTAATTATCCTCACCCTGCACTGAATGGTACATTTTTACTGTTTACTTATAGTATCAACTCCTCTCCCCTAATTGCTTAATGTGTTAGTTGAAAGGTTGGTCTTCCCAACTAGAGTGTAAGTTGCTTTGTGGCAAGAATCTTTCCTTAAAACCCTGACTGTGCTTAGTAAATTGTGCATAAATTGAAACAACCTATGGGGCCAAAGAAGGAATTAGATTTGCTGGAAGGGTAACTTGTGATGGGGTTATGGGTGTCAGGAGCAGGCTAATTCCTGTCTCTGTATCCTTAGCCCACTTACAAGAAGCGAAGGTTGGATGAGTGTGAAGAGGCTTTCCAAGGTAAGAGCCAGCCTTACCCCACCTACTCCCTGGCTTGTAGCCCTGAGCAGGAGGATTGATCTGTCAGTCTCTGGTCAGGAAACAAGATCGGATTTGCTTTTCCAGAGTTAGCATTCCTAAGTTCTCCAAACATGGTCATTATTTAGCGCCCAAAATCTAATTTCTCAATAAACAGGGAGGGCTTGACTTAGTGTGGACTGCCAAGGGAGAGAGGTTAGAGGTGGCTACACATCTCAGGTTTTTCACAGAAGTCCCAGTTTCACATTATTTTCTCTTTTTCAGTAATAGTTGGTACATTAAATCTTTAGAGCATATTTTAATTTCTTTGTTCTTCAGACTTTTGGCATACTTTAGACACTCATTTGCTAATCCATGCATTTTCTCTTTTTGATTCTGTTGGTGGAGTCATGGTTTGTAGATAGGATTGTGACAGATAAAAGGCAGAGGTCATAGCATCTCATGGGCCTGGGGAAGAAGAAAGAAAGGTGGGGGGTGTTAATGTCCTGTCCTCCACCCCAGTCATTTGACCTTCTTCATGTCCCTTCCAGGAACCAAGGTGTTCGTGATGCCCAATGGGATGCTAAAGAGCAACCAGCAGCTAGTGGACATTATTGAGAAAGTGAAACCTGAGATCCGGCTGCTGATTGAGAAATGCAATACGGTGAGGCAGGGGCTAGTGACCTATGGGCTGACCCCAAAGAGCCTGGCTTAAACTATGAAAAATGTTGGATGTGGGGCAGGAGGCATGGTGGTGATAGAGGAGTTGGCACATGAAGTGTCTTGGCTCCCGTGCTCCCGGCATCTGGTCCTAGCAGCATGGATTGTGTACTTCGTGGCTTTGGCAGAAAAGGCAAGGGTCCTCATATGTATATATTGGTCCTTTCACCCTTCAGGTCAAAATGTGGGTACAGCTCCTGATTCCCAGGATAGAAGATGGGAACAACTTCGGGGTCTCCATTCAGGTAACATGCTTGTATTACAAACTGGACAGGAAGGTCCGGAAGGTTTATTCTCCTTTTCAACCTGCTTTGTGTGTGTTTTTCTTGGTCTGCTCTTCGGGTGACGTGGAAGTGACTTGACCTCAACACTTGTTTTTTTTTTAGGAGGAGACAGTTGCAGAACTAAGAACTGTTGAGAGTGAAGCTGCATCTTATCTGGACCAGATTTCTAGGTAGGGCTTCTTGGGCTTGGCCCAGGACTTGGGGGCTGGTGATGCGGCAAGCACCGTCCAGGGTCTCCTGCAGCTTCCTCCTTTTATCTCTCCTTTCAGATATTATATTACAAGAGCCAAATTGGTTTCTAAAATAGCTAAATATCCCCATGTGGTAAGTAAGGGTTTGGGGTCTGAGGGTGGAAGGGAGAGGGAGGAGTGGCTATTTCTCGGCCAGAGCTGCCTGTGGACAGGCCGGCCTCGGGGACTAGCCTTTCCCCTGTCCCCCTTTCAGGAGGACTATCGCCGCACCGTGACAGAGATTGATGAGAAAGAATATATCAGCCTTCGGCTCATTATATCAGAGCTAAGGAATCAATATGTAAGTAACCTTGGTCCCTGACCTCAGTCACCCTGGCTGTTAGTCCTGGCCACTCCCTGGGGTTCGAGATGGGAGAGGGAGTGGGATAAAAGGATAAATTCTCATCCATTGAGTGGTGAGAATTATGAGCTCATTGCGGGTGCGTAGCTGGGGATCTCCCTTTCTGTTTGGACGGCAGGGGATGCGGTGCAGTAGAGGTATGAAGATGTAGACATTAGAGTCAGACAGGCTCGGGTTTAGAGCCAATTCTTCCTGTAATCTGTGGCTTTGGGCAAGTTGTTGAACCTTAGACTTCAGTTTTCTCATCTCTAAGCTAGAACATCACTAAGATAGAACTTAGAGTATCTATGGCACGAAGATGGGGATTTATTTGTTTTGTTTTTTACAAAGATGGTTTTTAAAAATGAGTGAAATAGGAGCGCCTGGGTGGTGCAGTCGGTTAAGCATCCAACTTGTGATTTCGGCTTAGGGCATGATCTCATATGTAGTGGGATTGAGCCCTGTGCCGGGCTCCACGCTCAGCAGGGAGGCTGCTTGAGATTCTCTCCCTCTGCCCCTCCCTCACTCCCGTGCATGCGCGTCTGTGTGCGTGCTCTCGCTCTCTCTCTCTCAAATAAATAAATCTTAAAAAAAAGGAAAGTAGCACATTAAAAGACAAAAAAAAAAAAAGGTAAAGTAAAATAACACATTAAAAGACCCAGTACAATTGTTGGTTATGTTAGGTGCTCAATGAATGCTAGTTGTTATTAGACACCTGGGGCCTGGGAATTTCCCAGGAACCCCCGGTGTGTGGGTATAGAGAGGAGAAGCAGCCGCCCTGAATTGAGGTTCCAGTGAGTGAGATGGGGATTCTGCATATCATTGCTTGGGGCTTTGTGGGGTATCTGGTTTCTTTGGGAGGTTGGGGTGGAACCAATGTGACTGACTCCCTGGCCTCTTCTCCCAGGTCACTCTACATGACATGATCCTGAAAAATATCGAGAAGATCAAACGGCCCCGAAGCAGCAATGCAGAGACACTGTACTGAGGCCAGGGCCGGGGCCAGGGCCAGGGGACTCTGTGAGTCTGGCTCAAGACCGACATTGCCTTGGTTTGTTACATGACTATCGTGATGGGGAAACTGGCTGGAAATAGTAATCACACCTCTCTCTGTTTTTAGTTAGAGTCTAATGAAACTCTCATGTAGTTCTGTGACGTGTTTACCTCTTTTTTCAGGCCTCAGGAACTCTTCTCTTTCCTTCCCTAATACCCCACACCCGACCTGTCCTAATTTCTGGAGAAGTCCAGGTTTGTGTCTGCAGGATGTTGGCACAAGAATACTTGTGTTTTCTCTCCCTGCCCTCTCCCTCCTGTGTCTTGAGCTTTGTGGTTTCTTCCTTCTGTTGATTAGCGGATTAGAAGCTGAGGGAACTGGGGTCGGGGGAGGTTTCCAGCTCCTCTCCTCTGATGTAAGGTTAGTGTCTCTTGCCACTGTGTGGGACATTGGATCCTCCCTCCCACAGTTTCCCTGATGATAACTTAGGGTCTCCCATCCACATACGTTCCACCTTGAACCTGATCATGACAAGAAACACCTTAGGCCTTCCGCCAAGTCCCTAGCTCCTTGAAATGTTTTTATAACTAGGATTTTCACATACACATATGTGTGTGATGGACACATACGTACAGACATGCACGCACATGCCTTCCTACTCCGTTACCTGATTTCCCCATCCCATCGTCTGTGTTGTTTTCCTTTGTCCCGCCGTCCCCCCCAACCCCCACCCCATGAATTCTGTCACAAACACACCATTCAGAAGGTGATCGTCGTCTTGGTCCTCACCCACCGGGGCCCATCGTTCTGCTATTATATATAGCCTCTTGGTGCCCAGAGGCTGGTGAGTTGGAGGAGAGCTGAGAGATGAGAAGCAGAGGATTTGGGGAAGGGCCCTTCCTCTCTGACTCGGGTCTTTTTGGGTGTTATTGCAAAGGCCGGTCCTCTGCTGGTTGCCTCTTCCTAGGCCAGTTGTAAATTGGGGTGGGGCTGTGTGCAGCTGTGAGGGCCAGATGCTGCTGCCCCGGCTGGGCTTTCTGATGGGACAGATAGTTCTCTTATTTATAGCACCGTGCTTCCAAGGGCAGCAGCACCTGTGCGTACGTATGTGTGATGCACACACATGCGTGTACGCGTTGTGTGTATGTGAAAATCTGGGCAATCAAAACCATAGAAGAGTTGCCTCCTATTCCTCAAAACTTCCAGAGATATCACTTGTTACAGCTTTTCTGTTAACTCTCATCAAACCCCCACTTTGTTATTCTGCCGCTACTGGAGAGTCCGTATCTGCGGTCAGCCTGCCAGTGACTCTCTCGGTGTCTGTTTCTGACTTTTATTCTTCCCCTCTCTTCCTCTTGCCTTCAACCCCAATCACATTTCCACGCGGCCGCATCATTTTTACTCCCAGGATGCTGTAGAGAAGGGGTCAGGATGCTGTCTTCCCATGAATAGTACTCAGTAACAAACCAATTGCATTTTAGTTGGGCAGTGCCCCTACCCACCCTCCAGATCCCTTCCAGCTAAAACCCTACCCCCCCCACCATGTGTTTCTCAGTTTCCCTTTTTGTTTGTTGGATTATTCTGCTGCCCCTCCTCACTCTATCACCCTTGGATCGTAATGTAAAATTCTTTTACCATGTCAAGAAATTATTAAAAATGCAGGTACTTTGACCTCTTTCTAAAGCTGCAGACCCTGGTGCGATGCTCTGGTGGCTAGGGACATACCCACACTCAAGTGCGTGCACACGGGGACACCCACCTCCACGTACACCTCCAGCCACCCTGTTGGGTGTTTTTATTACCAACTGAGCTGCCTCTTTTCTCTAAAATAATGGAAAGACTGAGGCTTCTGCCTACCAAGAGGCAGGGGTGGGTCCTTCATTTGTGTTCAGTCTGAATTTATGTGAAAGTTAGCTCTTCCCAAACCTAAGCTCCTTCTGTCTAACTTCCCAGGATTGCAATTCCTTGCTCTCTCCCCCCGGTGATACCCATGAACTGCCAGTAGAGGCCGCCCTAGTTCCGCGTGTGGGGGATCACCTGGTTTGAGGCACAGCCTACCCGGTCATTTTCTTGACCTTATACTAATTCTCCCTGCTGAACAGTGTCTTAATCTCCTGAGGAGATGCCAGGGATTCCTGCTTTTGGTTTTCCAGTGATTTGGGAGGGCTGTCTAGGATCCTAGCTCTCTCTGAAATAAAGTTTCCTCAACTTGCACCTTGCAGAGTAGCCTTTTGATATCCAATGATCCCCTCATTGTCTCTGCGAAAAGAGATTTAAGGTCTTGAACAGTGGAGGAACGTCTGCTGTAGTCTGTTTCAGAGATCAGTACCAGTAGCTAACAATTTTTGAATGCCTAGCCTGTGTTAGGCTCTGTTAAGTGCTTTAGGTGTGTGACCTTTAATTTTCACGTATCTGGGGTAGTTTACCCCGCTTTTATAGATGAGGACACTGAAACTCATAAGAAGTAACTCCTCTGAGGTCCTACAGTGTAGGGATCTGCCTGCTGATCCCAGGCTCTCACCTTTCCTTTCCCACTGACTAGATAGAAGAGGCTTGATACTACAAAGCAAGGTCTTGGCCTCTGGCAGCTGGCCAAGTGCTTATTGCTGACCTGGGCCGTGGGTTGTGGGAATATTGGCGGGTGGTGCCTGCTAGGAGGTAGGGAAATGGATAGTTCTGGTGCCTGCGTGTAGCACGCAGCACTTAACTGGGCACCTGAGACTTGCATTCTTCCTCAGACCTATTCTGAGGGAAAGGTAGAGTTTAGGGTTAATCCACATGCCCTCTAGCCTGGTCTGAGTGATGGCAGCCAGAGCTCCTGCCATGCTGCCGCCAGGAGCTCAGGGGCAGGGGAGAGCCTTTGCACGTGGAAGTGGTGCCTGGAGGCAAACCACCGAACAGAAAATTGGAACAGAATTATATAAATTAAGGTCAGAAATTTCCTGTCCAACCCACAGGGTGGAGTTTTCTCCATTCCTATCCATCCTACTGAATATAAGCCCTGATTTGATGTCAGTAACTGGAAGGAGCAGCTGGGAGGACTCCCCTTTCAGCTGTCTGCATTCAGCATGAACCTCAAGGTAGTCCTCGTGTTCCTGGCACTGTCCCTCATTACCATCTTTGCCCTGGCCTATGTCTTGCTGACCAGCCAAGGTGGCTCCAGCCAGCCTCCCCGCTGCCCCTCCGTGTCCCCCAGTGCCCAGCCCGGGACACACCCCGGCCAGAGCCAGCTGTTTGCAGACCTGAGCCGAGAGGAGCTGACGGCTGTGATGAGCTTCCTGACCCGGCAGCTAGGGCCAGGCCTGGTGGATGCAGCCCAGGCCCGCCCCTCGGATAACTGCATCTTCTCGGTGGAGCTGCACCTGCCCCCCAAGGCCGCAGCCCTGGCCCACCTGGACAGGGGGAGCCCCCCACCTGCCCGGGAGGCACTGGCCATCGTCTTCTTTGGCGGACAACCCCAGCCCAACGTGAGTGAGCTGGTGGTGGGGCCACTGCCCCGGCCCTCCTACCTGCGGGATGTGACGGTGGAGCGTCACGGGGGCCCCCTGCCCTACCACCGCCGCCCCATGCTCGGAGCTGAGTTTACCCAGATGTGGAAGCATTTGAAGGAGGTGGAGCTCCCCAAGGCACCAGTCTTTCTGGCTTCTGTCTTCAACTACAATGGCTCCACTTTGGCACCTCTGCATGCCACCCCCAGTGGCCTGCGCTCGGGGGACCGTGCTACCTGGATAGCCCTCTACCATAACATCTCAGGTGTTGGGATTTTCCTTCACCCAGTGGGGCTGGAGCTACTGCTGGACCACAGGGCCCTGGACCCTGCCCACTGGGCTGTCCAACGGGTCTTCTACCTTGGGCGCTACTATGCAGACTTGGGCCAGTTGGAATGGGAGTTTAAGGCTGGCCAGCTGGAAGTGGTTAGGGTTCCTCTCCCCCTGCCAAATGGGGCTTCATCCTTGAAGTCCCGGACCTCCCCAGGTCCTCTCCCTCCTCTTCAGTTTTCACCCCAGGGCTCCCAATATAGTGTGCAAGGGAACCTGGTGGCATCCTCCCTCTGGACATTTACCTTCGGTCATGGGGTGTTCAGTGGCATGAGGATTTTTGATATTCGGTTCAAGGGCGAGCGGGTGGCCTATGAAGTCAGTGTCCAGGAGTGTGTATCCGTCTATGGTGCTGACTCACCCAAGACAATGATGACCAGATACTTGGATAGCAGCTATGGACTTGGCCGTCACAGCCGGGGCTTGGTTCGGGGAGTCGACTGCCCCTATCAATCGACGATGGTGGACATCCACATACTAGTGGGTACAGGGGCAGTCCAGTTGCTCCCGGGGGCTGTGTGTGTATTTGAGGAGGCACAAGGACTACCCCTTCGGAGGCACCACAATCACCTTGAGAGTCATTTCTATGGTGGTTTGGCTGGCTCGGCCCTTGTAGTCAGGTCTGTGTCATCAGTAGGCAACTATGACTACGTTTGGGACTTTGTACTGCACCCAAATGGGGCGCTGGAAGGGCGGGTCCATGCCACGGGCTATGTCAACACGGCTTTCCTGAGTGGGGGTGAGGAGAGCCTCCTCTTTGGGAACCGTGTGGGGGAACGAGTGCTGGGGGCAGTGCACACGCATGCCTTCCACTTCAAGCTGGACCTGGACGTGGCAGGTGAGTGCTCGGGTGAGGACTGAGACTTGGGGGTGCAGAGGGAAGGGAGGCCCCCAGATCGAGCCAGAAGCGGCAGAGGGTGGCAGGCCGGCACCACGACATACGGTGGCGGCGGAGCAGGGGCTGATTGGAGCATATTCGGCTGCAGTCAGCCTGAAACGCTGGGCGTGCTGGGTATCTGGCCGAAGGTAGAAGGGGTGTCCCTACCCGACCCTGCTCACCCGGCCCCGCTGCCTCACTGTGGTTGTGAAACTGGCTTAAATGCAATGGCCGTGCCTGGCTGGCTTCCTCTCGAGTGCCTCTGCGGCTAGTGAGTTTGCCTGGGGGTGGGGCGCATAGGTTTTTTTCCTGATTCTGGGGGCCAGTGGAGGTGGGGAAAGCAGGGCCTGAGCAGAGGTAGGAAGCAGCCTATGGAGGTTTTCAGTGTAGAGTGGTCCTGGGGCAAGAGGAGGGGGGTGCTAGTGGGGGTTTGTTTAACAGGATTTCATAAAACGACATAGGTTGGTGGCCCCACTCTCGTCCTGGGGAGGGTCCTCTCATCCCTGCCAGCACATGTCCTCACCGCCGGCCCTCCGGTGACAACGGCAGGCACGCAATAGGCTTGCTGCAAGTGTAGAAAGGGATTTTTCAAGTGGGGCTTAAAGCACAGAGAGGACTTGCTGCTCCTGACGGACGTTTGTCAACAACAAAATAACGAGCTTACTGAATCACAGACTATTAGACCCAGAAAGAAAAGTAGCAACCTACCAGACCCTCGCCAAACTGAGGAGGGTGGGGGGAGATGGAGGAAGAAGCAACTGCCCCGGTATAATGGTTTGTAACTAGGCATCTTTTCTGTGAAACATTTTCTTACCCTCTAGACTATAAAGACGTGGTTTCGGGTGGGAGGAGAACTAAGAAAATCGCATGACTGAAAGGAGTCTATTATCTATTCTTTGACATATTTGGGATAAGACTTTGAAGTTTCTCTCCAGCATTTTTGGCATTAAAGAGCCTTGTCTCGGGAAGTAAAGTCAAGTCACATGTATTGGATCCCTGTAGTGTGGAGCGCGAGGGACAAGCAGCAGAGATGCTGGCCTCGGAACAGCGCTCTGTAGGGGGCCGGGGGCCTTCACAATCGGTCCCGTTTAAAGGAACTGACACCCGAACCTGCAAAGAGAGTATCATCAAGTGCCAAGTGGGGAAGGTGGGTGTACATTACGAGTGCAGTCGAGTTCTAGGGAGCTTTCAGGCAATATAAGATCTAAAACTACTCCCTTCAGAAAAAAACAAAGGGGTCCCTACCTTGTGGAGAAGGAAAGCAAAGTTTCAGAGCTGGGAGGTAGATGCAGGACGCCCTGGAAGGGGATTGGGTTTTTCCAGCCAGCTTCTCCAAGACAAATCTCTCTTTCATAGTTACAAGAATGTAACTAGCCACCTGCGTGTGCTTTTCCACTTACAGAGCTCAGCCACAGAACAGCTTTTATTATGCCTACTGTAGAGATTCAGAAAGAGAATCAGAGAAGCATAGAATCGGTCCAAGGTCCACTGGGTAGACCAGTGCTAACAGAACTCTGCAGTGATGGATATTCTCCATCTGTGTCGTCTGATGCATGTGGCAGTTGAACACTTGAAATGTGGCTAGTGTGACCGAGGCACTGAATTTTTAATTTAAATGGAACTAGCCACTTGTGACTGGTCATAGCCATATTGAACGGGGCAGGTTCAAAGAAGGGTTAGTGCTTGAATCCAGACCTTCCGGCTCCCAGCACAATGCTCTCTGACGAGCCCCACTGCCCTTTGTCAGGCCAGCGCAGTGGGGCATCATGGGGAAGACAAGGGACTGTCTCACCTGGTGTGGAACTCCTCTCCCCCCTCCCCCTGGCAGGGCTGAAAAACTGGGTGGTAGCTGAAGACGTGGTGTTTAAACCTGTGGCAGCCCCTTGGAGTCCAGAGCACCAGCTGCAGCGCCCACAGCTGACTCGGCAGGTCCTCGGAAGGGAGGACCTGACAGCTTTTTCCTTGGGAAAGCCCCTGCCCCGCTACCTTTATCTGGCTGGCAACCAGACTAATGCCTGGGGTCACCAGCGTGGGTACCGAATCCAGATCCACAGCCCCCTCGGCATACACATGCCCCTGGAGAGCGACATGGAGAGGGCCCTCAGCTGGGGGAGGTGAGGAGGGCTCTGGGCACTGGGTGGAAGGGAAGTACTGGTCCTCTTCCCCGTCCCAGCTCTTGAAGATCCCAACTCACTACCCTTGGTTTACCATTCACCCCTGTGCCTCCTCTCAGCTCCAAGTAGATATGGGATGGGGAATGGTCTCACACAGAATCTGGTCCAAAGGACTTCAAGGCCAGCAATGGCCCCTGATCTGACACCACCTTCCTTCAACATTCCTGGTCAGATACCAGCTCGTGGTGACGCGGAGGAAGGAGGAGGAGTCACAGAGCAGCAGCATCTATTACCAGAATGACATCTGGACCCCCACTATGGCCTTTGCTGACTTCATCAACAATGAGACCCTCTTAGGAGAGGTTGGTAGCCCTAGGGGCAGAGGAGAGGGGCAACTTAAGCCCGAAGTCTTGGCTGCCCAGCTCCTGACCGTAGGTCAGAGGGAATGGTAGGTTTCCAGTTCTCAGATTCAGGGGCCAATGCGGGTCATCTCTCTTGGGGTGAGATTAGCCCTGGGACACCGACCACCCTGCAGCTTCTCACAAGGATCACCCCGCCTGCTGTGTGGACCCGGGGCTGGGTGGAGGTAGAAACGAGGCTGAGGCTAGAGGTTGGGGATTGTGGCTGAGGAGGGGTGGTTCTTTGGGTCTTGTCTCCACAAAGTCTTTCAGCCTCTCCCTCTTCCCACAGGACCTGGTGGCTTGGGTTACAGCCAGCTTCCTGCATATCCCCCATGCTGAGGATGTCCCCAACACAGTGACTCTGGGGAACAGAGTTGGCTTCTTGCTCCGACCCTATAACTTCTTTGATGAGGATCCCTCCATCTTCTCCCCTGGCAGCGTCTACTTTGAGAAGGGCCAGGATGCTGGGCTCTGCAGTGTCAACCCTGTGGCCTGCATCCCCCACCTGGCGGCCTGTGTCCCAGACCTGCCCCCTTTCTTTTACCAGGACTTTTAGCCCCAAGGGTGTGGTGGGACATGGAGGGGGGTTGCTGAGACATTTGTACCTTTCTCTCTGTTCCCACTTCCTGCTCCCTTGATTCCTACCCTCTTAATGTCCCTTAGGAAACAGCCTCCCACACTAAACCCGTATATATCCCTTTCGTTAATTCTTATTTCCAGTTCATTTTGTTTAAATGATGGATTTATACAAATGATATGATTATTAAGATATTCAAGCGAAACCCCACAAATTCTACCACTCAGAAATAGCCAGTGTTCACATTTGGTGAACGTTATACCAGACATTTCTTTATGCATGTGCATTGAAATGGAAGAATAGATAGAATTTTGTAAAAATAGATGGTGTGTGTGATTTATAATAAAAGGTGCTACAAGATTTATCGCTTGAATTTCTTCTATTTGACTTTTGAAGTATCTAGAATCACCCTGAGAATATTAAGAACTCTGGCCAAGGAAATTAGCAATGGAAGAAGAGAGGGCAAGAGGGACAGACCAGGCCAAGGAATGCCGCTTGGGAAGCTGCGGGGCTGGGGGTGGGGGTTTCCTTGGAAGCACAACAATAGTTCCAAGTTACAGGAAAGGGAACATCTGGTCCTGGAAGGTGGGGGTTGGGTGAAGAAGCCAGGCGAGGGGGACGAGGGTCTGCTCTGCGCAGACCCAGCTCCTTACTGCTGGTGCCTTTCCAGGCTCAACTGGTCAGTTGCATTATTTTTAAATCCCACTCTCCTTCTGCCTCCCCCAGCTCTCCCCAGTTTCAACCCTGACCCAGAAAGCGGAGTCTGATTTGGAGCCTGGAAGACAAAGCCATGTAAGGTCTGTGGAAATCACTCCCGCCCTGCTTGGGGCCCGCCCCGCAAGCCCGGCCTGCCCCGCCCCCTCCCCAGCCTTCCCATGTCCTTCCCACCCTCCCCACCCTCAGTATCCTGAGCGGCTGAACACTGGGAACCTCAGCCAGAGCCCAGGAGCCCCCCCACCCCCTGTATAGGAGCTAAGAGAGACCTAACTCTGCTGACCTGAGAATACACGTCTCCACTCTGGTTCAGTCCTCTGTCCCGCTGTTCACGGACAATGAACCAGAAGACCACTCTGGTGCTCCTCGCTCTAGCTGTCATCACCATTTTTGCCTTGGTGTGTGTCCTACTAGCTGGCAGGGGAGGAGATGGGGGTGAACCCAGCCAGCCTCCCCGCTGCCCCTCCGTGTCCCCCAGTGCCCAGCCCGGGACACACCCCGGCCAGAGCCAGCTGTTTGCAGACCTGAGCCGAGAGGAGCTGACGGCTGTGATGAGCTTCCTGACCCGGCAGCTAGGGCCAGGCCTGGTGGATGCAGCCCAGGCCCGCCCCTCGGACAACTGCGTCTTCTCGGTGGAGCTGCACCTGCCCCCCAAGGCCGCAGCCCTGGCCCACCTGGACAGGGGGAGCCCCCCACCTGCCCGGGAGGCACTGGCCATCGTCTTCTTTGGCGGACAACCCCAGCCCAACGTGAGTGAGCTGGTGGTGGGGCCACTGCCCCGGCCCTCCTACCTGCGGGATGTGACGGTGGAGCGTCACGGGGGCCCCCTGCCCTACCACCGCCGCCCCGTGCTGAGGCGAGAGTACCTGGACATACACCAGCTGATCTTCGGCAGAGAGCTGCCCCAGGCTGCCGGGCTCCTGCACCACTGCTGCTTCTATAAGCGCCAAGGACAGAACCTGGTGACGGTGACCACGGCCCCCCGAGGCTTGCAGTCAGGGGACCGGGCCGCCTGGTTTGGCCTCTACTACAACATCTCAGGGGCTGGGTTCTTCCTGCACCCCGTGGGGTTGGAGCTGCTGGTAGACCACAAGGCTCTGGACCCTGCCCGCTGGGCCATCCAGAAGGTATTCTTTCAAGGCCGCTACTATGAGAGTTTGGCCCAGCTGGAGGACCAGTTTGAGGCCGGCCTGGTGAACGTGGTGCTGATCCCAGACAATGGCACAGGTGGGTCCTGGTCCCTCAAGTCCCAGGGGCCTCCCGGTCCGGCTCCTCCTCTGCAAGTCCATCCCCAGGGCCCCCGCTTCAGTGTGCAGGGGAGCCGGGTGACCTCCTCGTTGTGGACTTTCTCCTTTGGCCTTGGAGCTTTCAGTGGCCCCAGGATCTTTGACATCCGCTTCCGGGGAGAACGACTAGCTTATGAGATCAGCCTCCAGGAGGCCTTGGCCGTCTATGGTGGAAATTCCCCTGCAGCGATGCTGACCCGCTATATCGATGGCAGCTTTGGCCTGGGCAAGTACTCCACTCCCCTGACCCGGGGGGTGGACTGCCCCTACCTGGCCACCTACGTGGACTGGCACTTCCTTCTGGAATCCCACACCCCCAAGACAATACGTGATGCCATTTGCGTGTTTGAACAGAACCAGGGCCTCCCCCTGAGGCGACACCACTCAAATTTCTACTCCCATTATTTTGGGGGCCTTGCAGAGACAGTGCTGGTGGTCAGATCTGTGTCGACCTTGCTCAATTATGACTACCTGTGGGATATGGTCTTCCATTCCAGTGGGGCCATAGAAGTCCGACTCCACATCACCGGCTACATCAGCTCAGCATTCCTCTTTGGTGCTGCCCGAAGGTACGGGAACCAGGTTGGGGAGCAAACGCTGGGCACCGTCCATACCCACAACGCCCACTTCAAGGTGGATCTGGATGTAGGAGGTAAGACATCCCTGGGGAATCAAGGATTCTGGAAGAGGGGACTGAAAAGTTGCCTATTTGCTTTGGGACTTATGGAAGTTATCCAGGAAAGGAAGAGTTGAACATGAGTTGCAGTGTTGGAGTTCTGTACTTCCTCTTTAGCTGGATGGGAGAAAGCTGACTGCTGCATTTTATTTGGATCCTAGCTCATTAACTGGGTGCAGAGCTGCCTCCCTCCCTCCACATGACCTCATCAGAAAATCTTTAGAAATGGCAAAGCTCAGGGAGGAGGCAGGATCTGGGCTCACAAGATCCCCTTTGCCCTCATCCCTCCCTTGTTCTCCTAGAGGCCCCACTTCAGGGAGGCGACCAGTTGTCTTGTAGTTCATTTCTCTGTGTCTGGCCTGTGGTGCCAAGGTTTTGGAGGACCTGTCTGCCTCCTGCCAAGTCCCTGGTGCACGCAGGCCAGCCCCGGAACCCCGCAGGTTGTACATTTCCTGGGGAGGTGAACCCTGCTCTTCCCTGGGCACCACACACTTAAGTGCAGGGGGGTAGAGTGGGTGCCGTGGAATGTTCAGGTAGTTCCTGGGGTTGGTGGTCACAGAGAGAGCCAAAGATCCATGATGTCTTAGAGTCCGTCTTCTCACTTTCCTTCCCCACATTGAGTCGATCACCCATTTTTTTTTGCAGTCTGCCTCTGAGACATGTCAGAGCCTTGCTGGGCCGGCCTTCTCTCTGCCCCTTCCACTCTTCTTCCTCTCAGATCCAGGGGCCGGCTTGCTCCCCCATCTAGCCCCAACTTTCCTTGAAGGCCCTTCCCCTCAGAGTGCAGTTCCAGCCTGCCCTTCGGCTCCCTGGCCCCCACCCCAGTGCTGCCTTAGCCACGCCCACACCCTCCTTGTCCCCCCACAGGTTAGTCAGGCTTCCTGCTTTTGCTCCTGTTCCCCCTCCCCCACCCCTCGCCTAGAACGCCCAGCTGTGTCATCTCTGCTACTCACGTCTCCTGAGACAAGGCTGAAAGGCACCCAGGAAGGCCCCTTTTCTGCCTGCACCTGTATCCATGACCTTGGACCTTGACTGTGCTCTTCTCACACGGCTGGCCTCTCAGGGCTTTGCCTCCTGCAGCCTCCGGGAGAGCAGGAGGAAGGGGATGGGGCTTCACTCCTCTATGCCTCCCAGGGCTGAGCCCAGTCCTCTCCACTAATAAGTGTGAAGGGTTAGTGAATGAAGTCCCTGAAGAAATACCTTACAGGTCAACCGCTTTGGCCAAAAGACCGGGCATAGCTTAGGGAGAGGGAAGGGAAGCAGGGACACACTCCGTTCTGGGTTTCTCCTTGGCCCCACTCTGAAGCGGTGAGTGGCGGGGAGGGGACAGAGTCCAGAGGGGACAGGGCAGCTGCATGACCAGCCCTCCCTCCCACCCTCCGCCCCCCCCGCCTCCACCTCCCCCCCCACCGCAGGACTGGAGAACTGGGTCTGGGCTGAGGACATGACCTATGTCCCCACGCCGGTACCCTGGAGCCCCGAGCACCAGATGCAGAGGCTGCAGGTGACCCGGAAGCTGCTGGAGACCGAGGAGCAGGCCGCCTTCCCCCTGGGAGGCGCCCCCCCCCCGCTACGTGTACCTGGCCAGCAATCACAGCAACAAGTGGGGTCACCCGCGGGGCTACCGCATCCAGCTGCTCAGCTTTGCTGGGGAGCCGCTGCCGCAGAACAGCTCCTTGGAGAGAGCCTTCAGCTGGGGGAGGTGAGTGGCGGGGTGTCAGAGAGAAGCTGGGGGAGGAGGGGGAGGGAAGGGTGCGTTGGGAGGGACAACTGGGAACTCAGTTCGAACTGGATTGGAGCAGACGTGAGAGCTCCATTAGGATTTCCCGGTTATGGAAACGCAAGCCCTGGGTCTATGCTGTCTGTGCAGGGCTAAGGCCCAGGCCAGAGAACGCATCCCCACTTTGGATGGGGGGAGAGGCCATCCTGTGAAATGGCAGGGGGACGAACAGAAGGATGTGGAAGGAGGTTGGCCGACCCACCCGGGTGGCACCAAAGTCATTGTGTGAATGACATGGGAAGCCCGAGGTCCATGACCTCAGCCCCCTTCCATCATCACAGTCAGGCAGCAGGACAGGGTTAGTGGCCATGGAGGCCTGACCAGTGCCTCCCTAGGTACCATCTGGCGGTGACCCAGCGGAAGGAGGCGGAGCAAAGCAGCACCAGCATCTACAATCAGAACGACCCTTGGGCCCCCACCGTGGACTTCGCTGACTTCATCAACAACGAGACCATTGCTGGAGAGGTCAGCTGACTGTGGGAGGGTCACGGGAGGGAGACCAGGGCACAGAGACGAACCCCACCTTCTCTTTTTTTTTTTTTTAAAGATTTTATTTATTTATTTGAGAGAGAGAATGAGAGACAGAGAGCACGAGAGGGAGGAGGGTCAGAGGGAGAAGCACACCCCGCTGAGCAGGGAGCCCGATGCGGGACTCGATCTCGGGACTCCAGGATCATGACCTGAGCCGAAGGCAGTCGCTTAACCAACTGAGCCACCCAGGCGCGCGAACCCCACCTTCTCTTAAGTTCCCTGAAACCATCTGGCCTCCCAAGGGGTGGAGGTGACTCCTGCCTTCTGTGCTTTCCCGAATCATTACTTCCTGAGGGAATCTTCCCTAGCTGGGAGCTCATTTGCAGACACTGGCTGAGGCCCCAGCCCATCGTGGAGACCCTGCAGCTCTCTGAGTCTTAGCTTCATGGACTTTGTCCTTTTCGGGCCCCAGGGTTCAAGCAGGGCTGGAAGACCAGCTCTCTTGTGTCTAGCGCTTCTTTCATTTCGGACTTGACCTCTGAAGGATTCATTTCTGAATGTCAGCCTTTTCTGCCTCCTAAACCCTGATCTCCCCGCTCCATCCTCCTCTCAGTCATTGGTAGGGAACTCTTGGAGAGTGAGGGAGAGGCGAGCTGAAATCGCCCCTGGGTGTCATACCTCTGGGGGTGGGTGTGATGGCGCTGTGATGGGAAATGTCAGAGATGGAGGGCCCAGGCTGGGACAGGGAAGTGGGGCTTGCTCCCAATATGAAATTGACTGGGCTTTGACTCCTGGGCCGGTAGGAAAAACTGCTTCCTGACTTAAGATCCTTTTGAGGGAAAATGGGCTGGCAAGGTGAATCCTCACATCCAAGGCTGCTGTAGGAGGCAGGCCTGTCCTTCACAAAGCCAGGCCTCAGGATCCTCTTTCTTCTCCCCTGCCAGGACTTGGTGGCCTGGGTGACAGCTGGTTTCCTGCACATCCCACAC